TTGTATATTATACGATATATTATATTATAGAGTTGAACTTAAATTTTTTTAAATAAAATAAAATAATTATTAAATTATTTTAATTATTAATAAATTAAAAATAATTAAATAAATATTAAGATTAATCATTTCTTTACGCAAAATGCACATTCATTGTAATTAAGTATAGTATTGTGGGTATATGAATCCTTATTTGATTGTAGCTACTCTAACTATAAATGAAGATTTTCAATAAGAGTTTTAACTAAATAGGTATTCACTAAGTTAAAATTTTTAATTTCAAATTTAGGTAAAAATATTGAAACCAATGTAATTTTATTTTTTTTATATTAGTTGCATAATGGGAGGCAACTTTTTTTCGTCTCTTATATCACCCCACTCACATATCATACGACTCAAATTTAAAATTTTTTATTTTCAAAATGAAAGGTAATTATTACTGAATTCCTTAAATATCCAGCGAAACTATTGTAATATTAAATAACTACCTCTAAATTAGAAAATAATAATAAAAATGAAGATCTACGTAATTAATTACTGTATATTTATAATCCCGGGAAGAAACTGATAAAATGAGACAAAATCACAACCGTTGAGGTAGGAACACTCAACAAGATAACAACTGCCATTGCCAAAGCCAAAGCGGGCCTAGTTTCCATTAATTTAGACTGCAGAAGTCCAACTATTTCACAGATATCCGAATCATACTGGGCGTAATACCGCTTCTCCCACTCCATCCAATGCAACGGTGCCTCCTCATTCCTCTCCGCCACCTTCATCTCCTGAATCCGCTTCCTCAACACAATCATATTCTCATCAACAAGCTTGCCATCATAATTGTGATTGTACGCATCTCTCTTCGACACCGAAATCCTACTTACTCCGCCTCCGTAACCACCATAGCGATTTCCGGGGCGCCGCTGCAAGTTGCCTGAAGACAGACGAGGCGAAAGAGGCAGCGAACAAAGCAAAGAAGATGAATTCATTATCTTCGATCTAACGTATACGGCGCCATCAACTAGGCAAGGTATGTAAATTTATATAAGAGGATGGAGAGAAAACGTGTGGGGTACTTAGATTGGACATGGTGAATATTAGAACTCCTTCGATGTAGATTTCGTGGCAAGTTACACTTGGCAAAAGGAGGCGGATACGTATGGCAATTATCAGGAAGATTCTATATGGAAGGAGGAAGTTACGTATTATTGGTTTGGGCGGCGAATCTGGCGCGTAAAACACTTAATCTTGTCTCCTTTTTTTTTGATGGGGACTTTTACTTCGTCGTGTAATTTAGATTTAATTATAAGATATATTCCGTTGAATTGCCGCACATGCAAAAAAGATTGGATAGAATATTGAAATGGTCCACTCAACTATGAATAAATTGGAACATGATTTTAACGAGACTTGTTCTTGAATACTTCAATTTTCAATATTTAGAATAAATGGGAGTATTTGTATCTCACAATTCATTGCTTGCATACCCTTTCATTATAGATGCTTCGGCTTTGGAAGACTCATTAATACTTTTCCATTTTCTGGAAAGATTACTAAAACCAACAAGCAAGAAATTGTCTAACATTTGAAGCGACCCATAAGTTGATTTGGATCGTATTCAGCTTTCCAGAAGCAAAAAAGATAAGCCCGTGAAGGGGACGGCGGTCATTATTACTTCCAACACAAGCCAATTATTGGAAGAAAATTGTCAAGATCTTACCTTTAACATGCAGTCTTATCCTATAGTAACCATCGATGAAATGTCATGGTACAGGTATTAAACCAGCACATTAGGCACTCCTTAATTGCAAAGACATCTCCTTTTTACTTAGCACCTGTATGACATGAATTAATAAATAGTAGCACATCGTATAACAACATCATTATTAATGTACCTAAACAATTTACAAACCTTCTAGGATAAATGGTCTGATTTCATCAAGCGGTGGTGATTCAAGCTGCTGGTTTGACTCTACTTGTTTGGGTAGAGGAGGCTGGTCCGGGTCAGTTTCTAAAGGCTCAAGTGTTAGCTGCGGTTGGATCTGCTCTGCAGAAGGTGATTCAAGCTGCTGGTACTTGGGTTTGTTTTTCTCAAGGAGGAGGTAAGTGGAGCAATACCAAAACAACAATATTCTACTTTGTGCTATAATTGTATCGCTGATACGACTCCCTCCAAATGAGAACCGTTCAAGGGCCTGAAAATAAGAACAGGAATGAGAGTCTTAGCAACTTCAAAGGGCATACACTGTTAGAATCAGAAAAGGCAAAGAATATCATAAAACAGCTAACCTTATCAAAATATCTAGAATATAACCATTTTAAAAAATTCCAGTCAAAATCATTTCATGTCGGTTAGTCCCAATAACTAACTGGGTAAGCTGGTTGTTGCCTAGTTAAATAATAAAATTTGGATAAAGAATAAAGGCTTTTGCTTGTTTGACTTTTAAAGAACAATTTTTACACTCAAATTTAATTTCCATGCTGACGGGTCCATGGTATTATGGTAATTAACTATATTCCCTAGTTCAACCTGTTTTCCTTATATGCTACAATAGATACAAAGTATGAAAATAATATCAGGCCGAGCTGTGATGTCTTTTTTTCTTAATGTCTAATGGAACAAAACAACTGAGTGAGATTCAATCCTAGGCTCTTACCACAGAGGAAGTACCGGCTCATTTAAATGAAAATAGTGGGAATGTGTTCATGAAACATGAATTCTTACCTGCTCTCCAGTTTGAATATCAAAGGTATGCTGATGATCAAATTCAAGACTGGTAAACTCATTGATGCACAGCCCTTGAAAAGCCCTGAAGTATGTGAAGAAACATGTGACTCATTATTACAACAGAAAGAGCACAACATACAAAGTTTATCATTGAATCAACAGTAAATTATGTTAAGATGCCTTTTTCTTATCAGCAAGTAGTGCTTAATTTATTTACCATCTTATGAGTGAAACACGTGGAATCCAACGGAAGGCAATTGGTGTATTATCTGCATTGATATAATATCCTCCAAATACGATAAAAACTGTCATAAGAGAGGGTCCCAAGGCCATTGCTGCTTCAGTGGTTGGGACCATAGCCCCAACAGTTAGACCCATTGCTGATGCAGCAAAAGATTCTGCAGTTACAATTCCACAGAACTTCCCAAATCTATAAAACCAAGAAGTCCAGGTCAATTATGATAAAAAAAAAACCAAATTATCACCGTACTTTCATGCACAGTGTGCTGGTGGTTATATGGAAATCACATATTAAAATCTTGAAAAAGAAAAATATAAACCAGTACTTAAAAATAATTAGATCAGTGTGACCAAACAATAGGCTAAACAACTAGGCAGAATTCTATAGCAAAAGCAGACCTCCAACAAAAAGGTTGAATATCTTGCTATTTAGCAGCAACAGTCTTTAAACTTGTTTCTGGAAAATAATAATAATAATGCAATAGCAAAACAGCAGGACATTTTCAGATAAACAAAAACATTAACAAGTTTCCACCTCCACTAGCTGTATCCCTACGTTTATGATTAGTGAGTACCGTATAAACATAGTGGAGGGTCATGTCTACATTGTATCAGCGGATTGTTGAGTTTCTGACAGATAGTTGGTTTGTTTCTTCTCTTGCCCTTCTTTTTCCATGTAGAATATGTGTGTATATGACTAATAAATTGAATGTAATCCCAAATTTGCAGAACTGATGCAATATGCTTATGTCCATTGTCAAAAATTTAAAGAGCTAAATTATATTATTTGACTATGAACAAATTAAACACTGCATCTAGTGTGAGAAATCAAACTGGAAGACTTAGCTCATCAAAAAAAAAAAAAGGGGGGGGGGGGGGGAGACTTAGGAAATAAACCTTGACAAGGTAGGATGGAGACGAGCCATTGGGTACAGCACAGCACCAAACATTAGAGGAAATGCTGCTCCAACTGGAATCTCTGCAATTAGTTTGGAAAGAAGATAAGGTCCTAACAAATAAGACCCCTTTGAACGCTCTCTGTTAACAATGGCACGTTCCTTGGGAAATACACTAACAGTCTTTGTAAGAGCAGCCATTGCAGTGTTAATTGCAGCAACCTGAGACAGCAAAATTACAAAGATGATAAAAGAAACATAAAATTTTCCTCGGCGGAATAGTTGGAGAATATTATCTTAGGAATTAGGGACATGATCTTGCTCCATGATATGAATGCGAATTAAGAGTAATTGAAGCTTCAAATTTAATAACCTCTTTGCAGTAGGTGCACCTGCTAGCTTAAGGGAAACATACACCTAATATTAACCCCATGGTCAGAGAACCCTGCTAGCTTAGTAAGTTAGATTGTTTATGTTTACTAGGTCCCTCAACTCCTGACATACTAAAGGGAGAAATAACCTCCATAGTTCAGAGTACCTCTGCTATCAGAGCTTTTAGGTAGATTAATACAATGTCTAAAACTCTATACATGGATAAAATACTTGGGTATGGAAGCATATCATATGAGAAAAACACTTGGAGGGCAGAAATCAAAGTTGGTGATGATGGACCACCATATACTGCAGATATACCTTTTGTGCCCCAGAGCATTAAATCATGGCAACAAGTAGAGAAGGATAGTTTAAACGGATTACACTGTCATGTGACACTCTTATGAACATCTATTAACAGATAAAAAGAAAATGAAGAAATTCTCAATAAAACCAAACCTATAGATAAATGTTCACTAGGTGGTCTAACTAACATGACTTCATAGCTGAGGCTAACCAGGGGGCATAAAAAAAAAGGCATCTAAGATTGAAAGGAATAAAAAAGAATGCATACCTGAAGTAGTCCCATTCTATCTTGGATGGATGTTTGAGATCTTCCCATTCTCCAAAAAACAGACCCAAATATTAGAGCCGATGCGATAGACATTCTAGCTCGAACTTTGTTTGTTGGCCCATCCCGAGAAGCCTAGTCAGCAGTTTGTCAATCAGACACAGAAATCAATTGAAGTTATGGAAAATGATGTAACATCTCTAAGCTTCAAATAGAAGAGCAACATACTAGAATTTAGCAAGACCTATCTAAAGAAGTTAACAAAGAAGCCATATGTATTAATGTGTCTACTCCATTGTTATTTGAAGGTGAAATGAAGGTAGTTGATTGGAAGAAAGATTAACTAGTGTGATCGTATCCTGCCTACATGTTTCTCTGGAGTTTGGAGCTAAACAAGTTCCATAATTGAACCGATTAATGGACACAATGAAAGCATTATCTTCAATCCTATCATATCCTTTGAGAGAGTTGAAGTAAATATGATCAGCAGTTGAAGGACTAACTTGCATCCATGCTCGTTTAAGAAGCAACCAAAATTGTCTCCACCAGCCCCTTTTCTTCTTAACAACAGTTTTTGTGCTGAACTTCATGCCATGCTTGGAACTAGTAAGTGGAGTAGCATAAAGAATTTCTGATGTCTGTCTGGAGAATGCCTCAACAAGAGCATCTATTCTTTTCTGAGAAGAGTAGACACTTTCAGCAGAACTGTAGTCTACAGATATGAGATCAGCCAGAAACTCCGCAGGATTCACATGATCTGGACATTGGTACCTGTTGATTAAGCGATATTAAAATTCAGGAACTAACAGTATCACTATTAGAGATTCTGATACATCATGAATTAATTCCCATCTATATACACAGCTGAAAGACCATCCCGTCTTAGGAAACAAAATGCAGAAGCAGAAGGGCAAACGTATCTTTTGTATAAGCAATTTACTCCAAGTTCAAAAGAACTAGCCATCAAGACTTGACTATTCAGACAAAGTTATGTACCATTAATTTGAAGTTGATTGGTGTAATTTATAATTTCCATTGGGCAGGTGAGCAGTGCAGCATAAGCAAACAATATCAGAAGCAAAGCTAAACAAAAAAGAATTACATGAACGGTCAGTCATAGAGTAAGCATTGGCTAAAGAAAGCCTGAATTTATAACTGAACCTAGATTACCACCCTGGAACTCTAAGCTGTTAAGTGTTTGCTAACTTTTTCATATGTCATTATGTTGCTGCATTCATACGTGGACACAGGTCATGAACATAACCATAGCATTAGCATGCTAGCAGATGTTGCAAGGACAATTAATAAAAGAGAACCAAGGTCTAATGACAACCCGAATTTTGAGAAGTACTGCAGAGGTTCATCATGTGCTGGGCCAGCATATACAAGTGCACCCTCTGTCAGCAAAATAATGTCGTCAAATTTACCATAGACAGAACCTCTAGGTTGATGTATAGAGCAAATCACAGTATGTCCATCCTGTGCAAGTTGCTGGAGAGTTTCCATTACTTTCTCTGCTTGAAAAGCATCTAGTCCTGAAGCCACCATAAGTCATTGAAAATCAAAGTTACTTAAGAGGCATGCAAATTTTATTACCAGATCAACAACAGCTCAGAAAAAAAAAATGATAACTTGCTTAAACCCAGACTTCTCTAGTCAACAGTAAAAATGTATCCAAGCATCCACTACTGTTCATCTTAAGGCAGGCAAAGCAGCAAAACTAAGAATGAAAATATGAAACCCATATTTTTATACCATGTTCACAACAATATTTGCCTCTACATATAACAATTCAAGCCAGGGGATGTATTTTGATTATGCACAGACTCTTCTGTGCCAAGAGATATGCTTAAAGGTCACCTGTACCCTGTGATAAGGCTATGATTCAAATCTACAAGATAAAAAGCCTACATTTAATGTTTATTACTTGATCATGCACACAGCACTGACAAATCCAGGGTATATTGATCCATGAAAGTATGAATTATGCAGGCTTTGAGTTGTAAAATGAAAATTTAGAGTATTTAAAAGAGCACCCTTCTACAACTTCATTGATATGGACCAACTCTCAATAAGCATCTCAATCATAGCCCTATCTCTATTTATCTAGACTAGATCAGTAATTGCAAAATACTACAATGCACCACTGTATCAGCTTCAACTTCCTCTTTCGGCTATTCTTTTGCCCCCCTCCCCAACAATCCCCAACTGCAGTCTTCCTATTTGATACCATATAAGATTGTGAAAACAAAATTGAATATCTTTTGCCAAACAACATATAAGAAGCTAAAAACCAGCTGTTCACGTACATTCTTGTAGCACTTTAAATGCATTATAAATTTATACGTGCTTCATCAACAATTTTGCATTCCATACCACATACCTTGCTTGAGAACTGATATATGTGGGTTTGTGTTGAATATAACATGAAAACATACATAACGCTTTTGTAAAGTATTTTCCACTTTGCCCATGAAAAGCAAGATCAAAATGCCATTTAGAAAAAACAGCAAGTTACCAAGACCCATCTTAGGATAAGAAATTAAACTGAAGTGTGCATACCTGTTGTGGGTTCATCAGCAAATATGACAGATGGGCTTGCCATCAGTTCACATGCTAGTGATAATCGCTTCTTCTCACCACCACTGATCCCACGAACTTTGGCATCACCAACATTGGTATCAGCACAACTGACCTTTTGGACAAAGAAAACAAGAGGAACACACCCAATAAAAAGGGGAAAAAAGGAACAGCATCAAAATAACATATTAAAGATTAACTTTTGCAAAAGGTGCAGTAAATCCATTATTACATGACTTCTTCATATTCACCCCACAGAAAAACCACAGATTAAAGGCTCTAGACACCAGCTACCAGTTATCCAATCAACCTATACACAATTGCATAAAGCCTCATAGAAAGGACATTATACAAAGCATGTAATAGCTGACAGGGGGTTGGTTAAGCCAAAAAACTAAAATCCAACAAAAAAACAAAAAGGACATCTAGCTAGCTGTGTGCACAATGTTGTCTTTCCAAGTAATAGAAACCAGATTATCCTTACCAAGCCTAGTTTGAATAAGAGATTGTTCACATATTCGTCCTTCTCCTCAACAGAAGATAGGTTGGGGAGCTGAAGTTCAGCAGCAATAGATAGTGTTTCCCGCACCGTCAGCTGCGAGAAGAAGAGATCCTCCTGTCTCACAAAAGCAAACCTGCGGTACAAATGTACCTCTTAAGAAGCAAGAACATACACAATTATACAAACTGAATTTTGATAATGTTACTATGTTGGTCCAGCACGGCTTACTTGTAAGCTTTGTTGGAGCTAGGCCTCCCATTGACCTCCAATCGACCGGACAAATGCAGACGAGGGGATGCCATTAGTTGACCTGCCAGAACATTAAGCAAGGTAGTTTTTCCGGAACCTGATGGCCCCATTATGGCAAGCAACCTTCCGGGTTTAGCTTCTCCGCTCACATTCTTAAGCAGAAATCGAACCTATCATGAAACAGTTTATCTTACTGAAAACATACAAAAAGCATTTAAACCTCAATTTGTTGAGCATTGTTCTCCGATTTGATACGGTAGTATTCGAATTGAAACAAAAGTGGATTTCTAATCAGCATCAAAACCAGAAGATGTGAATTCAAGATTATAAGAATTAAGCTAAGGAATCTAATATAATTGTTATATAAACCGAAGCAAGTTTAATTTAGGATATAAACTCGAACAAATAGTGGAGTAAGGGACAGGACTACAAGCGACTCAGATGGAAATTCAACACTCCATTTTCTCATCAACCAAACAGCAATAGCAATCAAAACAAAAATTGGAAAAACCACTCACTGATTTCGAGGACTTATCGGAGAGCGAACACGTGATGTTGCTCCACCGTATTGTAACCGGGGAAACTTTTCCGGTGACGGGAGCCTCGTCTCCGGCAACATCGTCGTTTTCGCTCTCACCGTCAGGCTCGTTTTCGGGAACGAGAGCAGGTCCGGGTCCAGAAAACAATCGGAACAACAGAGCCGCGGCTATGGCAGCCAGAATCTGGCCTACTCCGTTCCCGCCAACATTGGAGACCACCTGGCCCACCTTTCTCGCGGCAAAAACCACCATTTTCACCCTACTATTAGATTTATTTTGTCCCTCCCTATACCTTGTTCCTGGAGCTCTGCTGAAGGAAAGGAGTGAGAGTTTCAGCTCAGTTGAAGCTAATTTATTTTGTTTTGGTAGATTGCTCGCTGGTCGCCGTGACTCTGGGTTGGATATTTCTGTAGATAAAGGACACGTGTCTGATTTAGGATGAAGATAAGATGGTTTACACCTTACCGTAGTCCTTTATGATATTGTTCCCGTCCTGCAGCCGTGGCTGCCTTTGTAAGGAGAATATTATTTTTGTAAATATATATATATATATATATATTTAAGAACATTTCTTTATTAATTTTTTCTATAACTTAATTTTTTTAATGATGATCTGTTTTTATTTATT